GCGAGGGTCAGGGGTGCGCTCTGCGGGGGCCGGGGCCGCAGCTGGAAGGTGCCCAAAGGCGGGGCGCGCAGCCAGAGCGCGGGTGCGCAGAGTGGTGTGAGAAGACCTGGACCCTGATCCGGATCCCGGAGCAGCCTGAGCCAGCCCCATGTCTGTGCCAGGGGTCATGCGCAGATTTGGGCAGCTGTGGGGTCCGACTGAGGCAGTGTAGTTCTGACAGCTGCGGGGGCCGGGGCCGCAGCTGGAAGGTGCCCAAAGGCGGGGCGCGCAGCCAGAGCGCGGGTGCGCAGAGTGGTGTGAGAAGACCTGGACCCTGATCCGGATCCCGGAGCAGCCTGAGCCAGCCCCATGTCTGTGCCAGGGGTCATGCGCAGATTTGGGCAGCTGTGGGGTCCGACTGAGGCAGTGTAGTTCTGACAGGAGCGCCTTGACTTGATTTCCCCTGGCGGAAGTCTGCCTGCCAGCCTGGCCTCATCTCCAGGACCAGGAGACCCGGGGACCACAGGTCTGCATGTAGAGCAGACCTGGATGGTGCTCAGCCATGCCCAGGTCAAAGCGGGTCTTTCCAATGTAAGAAAACACTCAGGGAAGAGTTATCTAGTGAGTTCTTCTACTCCAGCCACACAGGGCTCTGTAAGAACCTGTCTTCTGGTAGGAATGGAGTCTGCACAGGGAACCCCGGACACATTGTCTGCACCATGTCTCTGTCCACTGCTGTGTGGACCCCACTTCCCTTCCACGGAGTTGAAAATATGCTCGGCTTATTACTCAGCTGGTTGTTTCTGTGGTGTATAATATCATGTGACTTTCTGGGAACAACTCAAAAGGGTTTTTGCAGTACTGTAGTATTTCTAAAAAAAAAAATCAGACTGCTACAGAAGACGTCTATTCAGTCACCTCTGTGACTCCGAGTGGAATTTCCTTTAATTTAGGAGCTCACATCTATCCTGTTGGGAGCCGCAACATTAACCAGTCTGTGGGTTCTGTGCCACTCTGGAGAGGGCAGGGCCAGCCCTGAGTGGGTCCTGCAGAACCTCCCATGGATCAATTTGTAATGGAACAGACGTGTCCGCTGCCCAGGGAATTGCATCCAGCCACACTCAGCTTCTGTATCAGCGCAGCCAGGCACACGCGGCCAGCAAGTGTGTAACACTTGTGAACAGCCTGTCTCGGGTCAGAACACAGCTGGTGACTGACTTGGCTGCAGCAATATTCTGTGTGCGCCCGGCCTCTAATTATGAGTAGCCTTCTGGGAGAGATCAAACAGGTTTTTGTTTAAGTTTTTTTAAAGTGTGGGACCAGAAAGAACAGGCAGACTTTGTCTTGAAACTGTTCTTGGAAAGGATTATGTGATCAAAAGAGAACAATAATTGAATTTGTGTGACATCAGCCAGCACTTAACACTCCCATTTTTCATGCAGGGGAAAACGGGGAGTGATGTGAGGTGTGTAATGAAGAAAGCCATCAAAAGGCTTTGGTCTGCACAGTTAAACACCCCAGTACCTCGGGTAGCCCAGTCCTGCCCTCCCCAGCCCTCCGCCTGTGTCCTCCCTCAGGTGTGAAGACTGAAAGAACACTTAGCAGAGTTCTCCGCAGCTCTGTCCCACAGGAATTCTCAAGTGAGGAGGTGCTTAAGCATTTCTGTGGATTTAACTGTCATTGGGACATGGACCACACCCTTCAAATTGCAATGTCAAAAGTCACAAAAAGAGTGCAGCAGGAGGTGCTTAGTAGGTTTTGCTGAAGAAATAAATCAGTGACTTTCATTGCTGGCACAAAGGAGAGATGATTTCTACACTAATGAAACCCTGTGCCCTCCGACCCCAGCAGTCAGCTGCCGTTTGGCTGTGCATTCCCGTGTGCGGAGCACTTCGTGTCTTTTCCTTTCTTATACCAGGCAAGAGGCACCCTTGCCCGAGGGTGGCCTGAAAGCTCTGTCTTCCACCAGCAGATGCTGCAGTGACTGTGGAAGAGGTCCCCTTAGGTGGGCAGCAAGAGAAGGGCAGGGGCTGCTGTGAAATCTTATCCTGGTGAATTTCTCCGTCGTTGGCTTAGCTGGCTGGGACTTGTTCTAAAAAGGGGCAGTGAGCAACAATGCCTTTCCATGGGTAGGACCCAGCAATAAGCCCTGCAGGAGCAAGCCACAGACTGATTCCACAGCTGTAAACACGATACCGAGTATTTTCCTTGGACAACTATGCTGGCTTTGTGAGTACACAGAGAGCAGAGGGAGCAGTTCAGAGCAGAGGGAGAACTAGTTCAGGTTCATGAGTAAGGCTCAGGCGTCCACAAGCCCTGGCCAGGCTTGCTCTGAAGTTACTGGTGCTTGTCACCGAAAGGTCCAATGGGAGAATACCAGCCCCTTCCCCATTAACTGAGGTATAATGCTTACCCCCTTTGGAGCTAAGTCATTCGTGCATAAGATGTTTCCTTTGTACATTCTTAGCTTTCAAGGAAAAGCAGGAAGCTGTTTTAGATACTATCTCTATATCCCGAACTTTAAGGTAGTTTTAGTTTTTGTCCTCTGAATATGCCATAAAGCTTTTGCATGGTTGCAATTCAGGATTGTCAGTTGGGGAAGCAAAGAACATGCAAATCAGATCATTTTCTGTGGAATATAAACATTTCAAAGGAAGGAGTTACCCCAATACTTGCCTTTTGTGTGCACCCCCTATAGCAGAGGTTCTCAGACCACATCCCTGAGAAGCTGGCTGGTATGTGGTGTCCCAGTCTGGCCTACCACATCCCAGGGCCTGAGCCCAGGACCTGCAGGGAACCAGGTGACTGCACCTCAGGGACCTTGGTGAGTGCTCTCAGACACCAGGCCCCAACCCTGACCCACATTTGGAAAATTGACTCAAGTGCTCTGGGATCCTCAACTCCACGCTGTGTGAACCAGTGCCCCTCAGTGGACGAGGCTGGCAGCAGGAGGTGGAGCTGAGGTGTCCCCAAGAGTCCCTCTGCAAAGTCCTTGGGCTGGACTTCAAGCACTAGGCTCCACTCCTGGCCTACAGCTGGCCATGCTCATCCCTGGTCATTGAGCTCTGAGTTCCCTGGTGAGAAAGAGGAACGAAAACAGGGACAGTGGGAAGGGGTCTCAAGGATGGTGCCAGTCTTGAATATGGAGCTGTAGAAGGGGAGGGGCTGAGGATGTAATAAACTACAGAGCCAACCTGGGGCCTGGGGTTCTCCAGGCCACAGTTAATCAGAAGCCAGAGCTAAAGCTGGCTGGCAAAACTTTAATCACAGAGCGTAGAGCATCGAACCCCCAACACAAACACACAGGGCAAGGCCTGGGGAGAGGTCAGAGGGGAGGGGTCCTAGAGGAGGCCACAAGGCAGGTGGGCCCAGGAAGAAGCAGAAGGCATGATGTGCAGGAGAGGTCAAGGAGATGGTTTTAAGCAGGAAGAGAAGAACTAACAAAAGAACTGAACTTTCTCTGTGTCCCATAGTTTTGTGACAGAAGAAAAATCCTTTGTGGAAAAATACAGTGACTGGCCCATTGGTGAATCTCAATATCTTTTTCATTTCTGTTTTTGTCTTGCATGCATGGTAAGCAGGCTGAGTGCCTGTCTGTGAGACCCAGGCTCCTTTGCAGAAAGGTGAAAGTGTGCAAGGTAGGAAGCCAGGACCTTGGGAACCATTTGGGGCTCCAAGAGCATGAAGTTTCGTTCAGCTCAGGACTGGTTTTGCTGTGTGCACCTTTCCAGTAACTTCCTGGCTCTGATACTCTGTTACCATCCAGATCTCTAGGTTGTTCCAGGGCCCCTGGCTTCTGCAATGGAGGCTGAGTTGGGTGAGGGAGGTGGTTGGCTATGTACCAGCCCGGGCCAGGTCCAGTTCAGCTCACCTCAGGTGCATGATGGAAACTATACAGAATAGACTGTTCTGCAGACAGGAAGTTGTTATTACTCATGATTTCTATGCTACTAAAGTTACTGAAGTAATTCCCCATTAGAAATGTATTCATTTTCTTAAACAGGATGAATTGTATAATTGCATTCACGAATTATTCACCTTAAACTTGTTAGTGGGAACAAGAAATACACACACACACACACACACATATATATATATACAGCAAAAATTGACTTTTGTTTGAGAACTGTGTGCTAAGGGACAAACCCGAACATGGTGGCCATCTTCCCTGCATGAACACAAAGATCTGGCCATCTTTTCCAGAATCACGGAATGAATTAAGATCGTGAACCGGGGTTCACAAATACATGTATACATAGATGTAATATCTACATCCTGCTGCTCACGATAGGCAGATGATGGATGCACAGCTCATGTGGCTGAGGCTCACAGTGACCATTGAGAACTGGGGCTGTAGGGCAAGAGATGTGGCCCATGGCAGAGCTGTGATGGGTCCTCTCAAATAGGGAGACCCCCGTCAGGCTTCAGGAGCATTTACACTGGTGTGCTCCATCTTATGGTCCCAGATGCTCACAGAGAGCAGTCTTCCCAGCAACTTTACCCAAACCTGTGGCTGATATTTAAGGAAATTACTCAAGGTCGGGGGGTGCAGTGCAGTGTCCATGCGCTTGCCTGGCGTGAATGAGGTAGTAGGTTTCACCCCCAGTAAGGAAAAGTAAAATCGCTCCAGATGGGAGAAGAAAGGCCAGATGCAGAAGTGGCCTTCCTCTTTCCCAAGGACTTTCCACCACTTGGAGGGCAAAGGGCTTGCCCTGCCTGGCGGCCACCAACCAAGACCCTTGTGCGAAGGACATGGCCAAGGCCTTTGTGTGAAGGACACGGTGTCACCTTGAAAATCCTCACTTAGGGCAAGAAAGCAAAAAGACTGAAAACTTTACTGGTGGTGCTTGTCGCAGGTTCCACATTCTGCTTTTGACCCTGCAATCTCATAAGTTGTTATATTCTGCATCCCAATAAAGCAGTGTCTCCTTGGAAACTAACTGCTGATAGGTTTTAAAACTATTGGAGGGTGGGGAGAGGAAAACCCTCTGTGGTTTGTGCATGTGAAGTGAGGAGCAGTTAGTAGACTTTTTTCTTTGTATGCCAGTAGAGCCAGGGAAGCACTTCGGCCTAAGTGAGGCACACAGCCAGTGAGGAAGTTGTGCATCCTCCAGGCATTGGGTTTGGGCTGTCACTAGCTGTGTCCACCTTCCCCGGAGCCTTGAGTTTGGGGTTATGCTCTGCTATCAGTTTCATTTCTCTTTCTTGCCTCCTCAGTCCCAGTTACGGCGGCAGGACGCTGGCCTCAAGACTCACCTGGATCAGCTGGACCTGCAGATAAGCGAGCTGCAGCTGGGCATGTGCAGGGCCTCAGGTGAGGGCCCAGACAGCGACAGCAGGCCCAGCTCAGGTATGATTGTGGTGCACATCTGTAGAAGTGGATCTGGTCCCTGGGGTGCACACGTGTTCACACACACACACACACACACACACACACACACACACACACACACAGACACACACACTGTTCACACACACACACACACACACACACACACACACACACACACACACACACACACACACTGGGAGAGTATTTCCTTTGTTGGGGGAAAAAAAATCCCAGTGAGTTTCTCACCTCTTTCAGGGCTGAGACAGACATTTGGTGGAGGGTGTGATCAACTATTCTGGGGCCACAGAAAATACCTGTAGTTAAATATGTGGGCTTAGATTGAGCTGACAAGGATGCCCCTCCCTCACTCTGTCTGGAAGGCCACAGTCCCTCCTGGCATGTATGACCCTGGTCACCTCTGCTCTCTACCCAACCTTCCCATGTGACTCTTGGACATGGAAGCAGAGACAGTCCTTGTAGCCCTGTGGTCCAGGTTTCCAGGGGAGTCTGCCGCTCCTTCTGCTTTCCAGACTGGTCTAGGAAGGCTTGGGCATGGGGAGCCCAGAAACTGCCCCTTCTCATGGGACTGAAGATTAGTGGGAAGGACAGGCAGGGGGAGAAAAATACCTGAGGCCATTTGTAGGGCTCAGGACCTAGAGAAGAGGCCTCCCCTCCTGCAGGGAGTGGGTGTTCTGTACCCCATGACCACACAGATGCTGGGAGGCATCTGGAGCATCTTGCCTGGGGCTGGATCTCACAGTCTTCCCCACCCTCCCTGTGCCAGGGCAAGCAGGTGGGCAGAGGCTCTGGGCCCTCAGGGCTGGATCCCCAGGGCATGCACCCATGGTCTGCATCTCTCTCAGGATTCTATGAGCTGAGTGATGCGGGTTCCTGCTCCCTGTCCACCTCCTGTGCCTCCGTATGCAGTGACCGCCTCTCCCCATCCCTGAGTAGTCTGCTGCCTGCCTCCTGTCTCTCCAAGTCCAGGCCCAGCATGGGCAACTGGCGGCCCCAGTCTGCTGATGAGAGCACCATACCGGCGTGGAGACCCCAGCCTGCTGAGGAAAGCGGCAGGTTCCTGGACCGTGCAGCAGGCGCGAGCAGGGCCCAGGGAGTGTTTCGGCCCAGGCCAGTGTCCACAGGTGAGAGAGAGGCAGCCGAGGTTGAAGGGGCAGCAGACGGCAGCCCTCCAGCCACACTGGGGATGGAGCAGGACCCTGTGTGGAGCTGCCTGCAGCAGAGGAGCAGCCAGAGGCCCTCTCTTATTCATGGTAGACCAGCTGGTCTGGGGGTGGAGTTTTATTATATAAAATAGAGATTGGTTTGAAAAGCCCTTCATACCCCTTGATCAGCCCATGTTTGTAGCAAAGTGGCCATGGGAAGATAACCAGCTCACCCTCCGCCTCTTGCTCCCTGAGAGGTCATTCTGGCCTCCTTTCGCTTATAACACATGAAGCCGGGCATGGTGGCACACGCCTGTAATCCTAACACTTGGGAGGCTGAGGCAGAAGGATCGCTGTGAGTTCGAGATCAGCCTGGGCTACATAGTGAGTTCCAGATCAGTCTCAACTACATAGTGAGACCGTGTCTCAAAAAACCAAAAAATAAAAATAGAAAAACAAACTTATAACACAGGAGCAGCTTTAGTGTGAGCCTCTGTCTCTCCGTGGTGAGAGTTCCCAGAGCTCACTGTCAGATCCCTCAGATGGCCCAGGAGGGCTGTGCCACAATCTCTCTGACCTCTGTCCTGAGCCCGGGGGTCTACAGAGGTTTATCTCTGAGCACCCTTAGGCCGGGTGCAGCACAGCACCCAGCTGACACAGGCTCCTCTCCCCAAGGTGAGGTGCCACACCCTGCCTGGCTCCAGGTGCTGTGGCTGGAGTGGCAGATCATCTGTACCCTTGTTCCTGGGCTTCACACGTGTGGCCAATGAGGAGTGACCCCGTGGGAATTCTTTCCTTGCTGAAGTGCTTGTTTTCCTTCCCAGGTGACCTTGAGAAGGTCCTTCCAGTGGACATGGGGATCCAGAGTCCGGGTGCAGATGCCACGCCCACTTCCTTCCCCCGCCAGGGAACAGACACTCCGGCCCACGTGCTGGACCCCACATACCAGTGTGACCTTGTGTCCAGGGGGGGCTGGGAAGTGTACCCTTACCCCAGCCCACTGCATGCCGTGGCCCTGCAGAGCCCCCTGTTCACTCCAGCCAAGGAGACCCCTTGGCTCCACAGTCGCTCACCCCCCAGGAAGCCTCTTTTGGTCCCCAGGGATCAGCGAACATCCCTGACGGTGTCAGTCTGCGAAATGGGCCAAGCTGGAGCCTGCATTGACAGGCTGCTGCGTTTGCGGGGCTTAGGGGCCTCCCCAAGGGATGTCTTGGGGGAACAGGGACCCCTAAGACATGAAGCATCTTCCTTCCCACAGAAGCCAGGTGACCAGAAACAGGGCAGTGGAGGCCAGCCAGAGAAGCTGGTCTGTGCCCCGGGGAGAGGGAACATGGGAGTGACGGCTCAGAGACTGGCTGTGCAGGGTGACGGCCTCAGGCAGCAGGGACTCACACCCCTCAGGGACACCCCATCCCCCAGCACCCCCCCAGAGGGAGGCCTCACACCCTGGAATCCCTGTACCAATGGAGAGATAGCTGTGGGTCCTGCTTCCCTGCCCCATGCCCGGCAACCCCATAAGGACTACAGCCTGGCTGCCCCCCGGAGGCTGGGATGCGAGAGCCCCCCAAAAGCCATCGGGTACTCTGTCCATCTGCCCCGTACTGCTGAAGCCTCCCCATCCAGGCTGAGGACAGCGCCCCCTAAGACCAAAGCTGTGAAGATCAGGAGGAGGGCCAGTGACAAGGTGCCCAGGTCTGGAAGGCAGCCACTACCTCTCCCCGAGAGTTCCCAGGGTATCCATGTGGCCCCCCGGCCACTCCCAGAGTGGGATCAGTTGCACAGGCCTCAAGGGCTCGGACCCCAGAGGAGGCCCTCCTTGGCCGGGGAGTCCCCTGGACGGTCCTGCTCAGAGTCCACCCTCTACCCCATGCCCTTCCTCATCCCCCTGGGGGTGGCCCGGCAGAACAGTCACCAGGTGTTATCCCAGGTACTGTTGCCCCCTGAAGTGGCCCCGCTCCGCTCAGCCTCCAGGAAGAAGCAGCGCCCCTGGAAGTCCAGCATGGAGATCTCGGGCAAGCCCAGCCTGGCCAGCTGTGCCGAGCCTCCCCAAAGCACAACTAGGAAGGCAGGGGGCCCACAGGCCCAGGACAGGCCGTGGCTGGTCCATCAGGAGGCCAGGAGTGAGTCCGACCTCTCCCAGCACTCTGCGGAGTGCACTTCGCTCTTCCACTCCACCATTGCCGAGACCAGCGAGGACAAGGCCAGCGACCACACTGCCAACTGCTTCGGAGACCAGGAGTCCAGCGGCAGTGACTCAGAAGGTGGCATCCAGGGCAGGGGCGGTGGCCTGGAGCCAGACCAGGTGGTGCCCAGGCAGGGAGAGCAGGCCTGTCCTCTAGCAGCCCCCCAGCAGCCCCCACGGCCCCCAGCAGGCACCAGGCCACCTCTGCCCCCTGCGCCCAGACTATGCCGCATCAAGGCCTCCAGGGCTCTGAAGAAGAAAATCCGCAGGTTCCAGCCAGCAGCGCTGAAGGTCATGACCATGGTGTGAGTGCCTGCTGGCTCTCGGGCAGCAGGTGCGGGGTCTGCCCTGCCAGTGTGACTCGCCAGCTTGCTTTAGCCTCTGAGGCTGCCTGTCACAGTCCCCTCGATGGCTCTGGCCCTGGGATGTGGTGGGAAGTTGCATGGGAGATTTTTCCCTCCCCAGAAGAGATGTGCAGAGGTCTTTGACCTTTTGGATTGGGTAATCCACCCACCCAGCAGCAAGCTTCCACTTCAGCTGGGGGTGACAGTGGGGGTAGGTTTAGGGGGGCATTTTGTTTCCTGGTATTGTTAAGCCATTTCTCCCCAAAGCATTGTCTTAGTGAAATCACTGGCTGCTGGAAACTGGATTGAATTTGAACTCCATGTTAAGTTCTCTGTAAATAAACACCAAAAGCATGCTATTATTCTCTCAAGAAAAGTGTTCCTTCTCCTTCATCCTCCTCCCCGCCTGCAGCACACAGCCACATTGGGTGCTCCATCCCTCCTCCTCACCTTCGGTGGGCACTGGCTTGTAGATGGGTGTCCTTTTGGGAAGTGGAGTCTAAACTTGGATTCCTGAGTAGGGGTAAGTTGGGCATAAAAGTGTTTTGAAAAAGTAACTGTGGTGGTGGTGGTGGAGGCGAATTTTTTTTTTTTCTTTTCCAAAGAAAATTTCACTCAATTGTGGATCATAGGGTTCTCAGCTCAGATGTGTGGTGGGTGCCACAGCATTTCAGCCTGGTCAGCAGCTCACCCTGGCTTGTTCTCAATCTGCTCAAAGTGCCTGGCAGAGAATAGGTGGGCAGCACTCAGGGCCTTGCAGTTCTGGGCCCCAGGAACATGGAGAAGGACAGTAAGAAAACTGGCTGAAAATACTATTTTGTTCCAGGTGCTGACTATTCCTGTAGGAAGCAGCTGGGGCAGGATGCAGTCGGAGAGGTTTACAACCTGATTAACATTTGAGAGCAGAGGCATAGGCCTCCCTGCAGAGGAGCAAGGGCTGCTCTGAAGCTTCTGAAAGGAAAGAGAATCTGGGGCTTCCTGCAAAACCCATTCCAAAAAGCAAACATTTCCAAGGGCGGGAGCTGACTGCAGTGCAGACATTCCAGTCTTCACAGACTTCTCAGCAGCCTTCCTGCGATTGCATAACCCAGAAGCTTCAGTTTTCTGCCCTCCCTATGCTTTGAAAACAGCTCCACTGGCATGTAAAGGAGTATTCAGGCCCACTCATGACTGGGGGTTTTACTGTAAAAGTTGGTGTGGGGTACTGTACAGAAATGGACTACTGTCTGCTGGGAGGCCCCCATGGCGATAGGAAATGGTGGCTGTAGCCCATGAGGCCTCTGGACCAGACCTCATAGTCCTGACCTCACCTTATGCCCAGCCCCTGTTCAGGTCCATAGTTTCCTAGCCTCCTTCCCACAGGGCTGTCCTGTGCAGGGCCTGCTGTTCCCTGCTGTGATGGGCTCCCAGAGCTTCTCATCATCAAGAGGCTTTGAGGACACCATATGGGAAGGATGGACTGTCCTCCCAGCCTCCAGAAAATAAAGTGTGTCCTGTGTCACAGGCTGGAGACCTTAGGCTCCAGGGCCCTGGCTGAGCCCAGGCACAATCAGTGCAGAAGGGGAAAACACCAGATGTGGGCTGTTCAGTGCCTCTCATAGTACCTGTCTTCAGAAAGCTGGCTGCTTTCCTGCCCCTCAGACTCTATGCACCACCAAGACCCATGCACTCCAACCCCAAGGACTCCATACAAACTAACCATGAAGGCCAAGCAGCTCTGAGCAGTGCCCATGGGCAGAAAGCCCTCAGTGACCCGACATTTAAACTGGTTCCTCACAGCTCACTACCCCTCCTGTCTACCTGAGTACCACTGGGGTAGGTGCAGGAACCACCGAAATGGAGTCCTGTAGTGGGGTCCACTCTGAATGCAGCTGCTGTAGAGATTCACAGCTGAGGAGCGGGTGGGGGGTCTGTGGATGGGAAGTGGCCAAGAGGAAATATCCAGCCAGGGGGATCTTGGTTAAATCAACCCAAAGGATTCTTGCTGTAGATAGCTAGTTGATCAGACTTTTTGTGGGACCCAACCAGGTGTCATGGTGCAGGGTTCTTGCTAGGACTGAAAGTTACAAGGAATTGTAGAGCAGGGCCCAGAAGAAGGTTCAGCAGCCCAACAGGAGATGGGTCACACAAAGCACCTCTGCCACTTCTCAGACTTTCTCTCAAAATGTGGGGACCCAGGAAAGCACCCTGGTTTCCCAAGGGTTTAGGTTGACACCTCAAGAATCCTTCTCGGGCCTTCAAGCCTTTCCACCCAGCCTCTCTGCCTGGTCCTCACTCAGGGCCTGGCTGTGCAGCCTGGGGAAAGCCGATGACAATTGTATGCCAATGAGCCTCCCCGAAACACCCCCGGGCTGAAGTCCAAGATTGCTTAGGATTCAGAAGGGACAGCAAATTGAGTGTTAAAAATGGGACCTGATCTGTCTGGGCTCAGTAGGGTTGACAGGCCAGGACTCAACCTCCCACCGTGTGAAGATTCCCAGGGTTCTGAGAACATGGCTAGCAGCATCAGGATAATTGAGTGGTCTGCAGCAGGCAGGACCAGGCCGGAGGCAATCTGGGGAAAATACATAGGCACACAGAGCTGCCAAAAGCCAGTGCCAGCCCCTCAGAGGAGAGTTCTCTGCAACATCCTGGGGAACATTTCGCTACCTGCCAGGCTTCTGTTTTAGCACACTGTTCTGCCAGGCAAACGTGGGTGTCACCACTCTACTAGAGAGAAGTCAGCAGCAAAACCTGAGATGGTGCAGTGTGTGGGGATGTCCCTCTCAGGCTGGAAATGGGACAGTGACCCCAGTGGTCTTCAGAAATCTCTTGTGACTCCTGGTTTGCTTGGAAGAAGATGTGACATACAACAAGAAAAAAGGGAACTTGCTCTGAGAATGAGAATATAAACATATGAGAAATTAAATATTTATAATTTTTAAAAAAACTTTTTTGGTACCAGGGATTGAACTCAGGGCTTTGCACTTGTGAGGCAAGCAATGGAACCACTGAGCTAAGTCCCCAGCTATAATTTCTAAATTGTAAGAGATAGAACAGTTTAATTACACTGGAGAAAATAGCCCAGCATACTTTAGTGAATCATATTAAAGAAAACAGACTCTTTTATCTTTAGTAATTCAGACACAGAACCCAGCTGTTGAGAGGGGCTCCCTCTGGATTTCCCTCTGTCCCCAGGGTGGAGAGGAAGAGCCACCTTAGTTCTTAACCTTAGCGGTAACCCCTGAGCAGTGACCCCTGAAAGCCGCCAGGTCCTCAGTGTTAGATACACAGAGCCTGACGGAGAGCTGAGGCCCCTCTCTCCACGTCAGTGAGGGCCTAGTCACAGCTCATCTGCTGAGTATCCACTGACAGGACGAAGATCGGCATGGGGTGAGGGCAGGGTTTTATAACACAGTCTGTATGGGGCTTTGATGAGGTGCTTCCCCGTTCCTAAGCAGTTCACAAGCACAAGTCTTTAAAGGAAAAGTCCACAGGCAGCTGCCCACTCTCCTTCCACAACATTTTCCTACTGACGGAGTTCCTGAGGTAAAAACCAAGGGTGGAGCAGTGCTCGTAGCAGCCTGCCCACCACAGAGGCTTGGGGACTCACTGTGGCCCAGCCTGTTTCAAAGGCGCCGGCAAGTGGACTCCACAAGTGGACTGCAGCTTAGGAGGATGACAGACAAGAAAGGGCTCCCTCCCTGCTCTCCCCTTCCCAGCCCACCTGGCAAGAAACTGCTCATCCTGGCTACAAGTGTCCATGGGCCTCCAACCACTGGAACTCAGGCATCAGAGGTAGATGCCTTTGCTGGTTCAGCCTTGGAGAGCTGAGCTGCCAAACTCCTGTAGCCTGAGTGGACAGAACTGAGTCCAGTCTGAGCTGGGCAAGTGGTGGGGGAGTGGGGAGCAGCAGCTGGGGGTGGGGTGGGTGCCTGGGCTGGGCCAAGGGTGCGAGGCTGAAGGTGGGGAAGTCAAGAGCACAGCAGCTTGAATACCACTTAAATTGTATTTAGAATGGTTTATTTGCTTTGCCAAGTTCACAGTGTCCAGCACAATGGATCCTGAGACCAGCAGAACTGCAGGACTTGTTTGCATTTAAAATCCTGAATGTGGAGCTCTGTCCGGAAAATCACAGATGAATGGGTGAACCAATACATCAGCCATGGAGGATTTAACTTAACTTTTCCATGAATCAGTTCTGCTCAAACAAACTACATAGACGCTGTAGAAATGTGGGTCAGCTCCTGCTTTGCTGAGATCCTACTCAATAGGACGATCTTGTGCACATATGTTTTAGATGTAAATAGAGAAAAGGATGATTTACCAAAGGGTTCTCAGGGACCTACATTTGGGAAGGCGCTAATATTTGGATCAAAAGAGATATTAATTAATTCCAAGGTTTACAGTGTAGTAATTCGAGGCTGAGATTTATTATGTACTATTTACTGTTAAAACTGCATACAATTAATAATTAACATTTTCTGAGCACTTTTTTACAAATCACTTCCACAAAAGCCCTCTTTCTGGTGCTGGTGCTAATGCTGTGTGGGAGATGTTGCAGGTTCACTGTATCCTCCCCATTCTGTAAAAGTGGTCCAGTAGGTTTGGCTGGCACCTGGCAGTGGCAGAAGCCTCCAGTTTAGCAAGATCTGGCCTGTGCAAAGCCAGCACACAGCTAGCCTAGCGTGATCAGGCTGCTTATTTATTGGTCTCTCCTAGGGTACTCTACTTCTCTCCTCCTTCCCCTTCAGGGAAAAGCTGAAATCTGTGGCCTCAGGAATCTGCTCTGCAGTGTGGGGAGTAGCCCTGACCAGAGCCAAGGTCCCCACACCCATGCCCAGGAATCTGGGGCCAAGCACACCTTGAAGTTTCTCCTCGCTATTGAAATAAAACATATGGGTGGCTGAGGGGCGCGACCTTTCCCCACTAGTGGTGAAAGCAACTCCCATGAAGGAGCTGTGTGCTTTGTGTTGATTCACTGCTTTTTTCCCCCTCATTTAAAAATCATAGTTTATTGAATGTCATATCTTATACCTGAAGTGTACCGATAAACTTAATGAATGTTTTTTAAAAATCATAGTTTGTATTTCAAAGTATGTCTTTTTAAAAAAGTTTATGTTATTCCCTCAACCATAGCTGTATACGTTAGGATGCTCTGATATCTGTGCACACTGTGGGATGAGTAAATCGGGCTAATTCACATGCAGAGATCTTGCATCGGTGGATCTGCTGCAGGCTGACGTATTGCTACATTTCCAGACAATAAGTAGCACGTGGTGACCAGAGCCAGTGCCCAGACCACACTGGCCCTCTAGCAGAGCTGGCTGCAATCCTGCAGAGCCTCACTTGCCTGCACCATAACGCCA